GGCGGCTCACACCTCGGCCTCCTCCAGATTCAGCGCCTCCTCCATTGCTCATGATGTTGCTGATACCGCAGCTGATGTTCCTCGGGGCCTCATGCTTACTAGTTCTCTGAGGCAGCGTGTGTAGACGTACCTCCTGCCACTCTGCTTCCCAGGCTCGCCTCCACAATGCGGTGTTCAGACGTTGCACGGGTCTGCGGTAGAACCTAAGCGCACGAAGCGCACGTGGTTCTAGTGCATATATATATATATATATATGTATATACATGTATGTGTATGTCTCTTTCTCTGTCGCTCTTCCCTACTGATCAATGTACGTGTATGACACTTGGATACATAGACATATGTAGATCAGATGTGGGGGGGGAGAACGAAGTGACGCCAACAAGAAAATCGGTTCTAGCTTCGAGGCGAAGCTAGGCAAAGGCGACGATGTGATGGCGTAGTTAGGGGGCCAAGTCGTACAACACGTGTATCCTTCGGTATCGCGTTCCTCGTCGTTGTTGTCCCACGGTTCTACGGGGGTTATCCAATGGTTTGTCCCGTGGGTCTCCCCGTGGTTGTTCCGTAGGTTGTCTTGTGGATTGTTGTCCCGCGGCTTGTCCCGCGGATGTCTTGTGCGTTAACCCGCGGGTTGTCCCGCGGTTGCCGCGTGGGCCGTCTCGTGAATGCATATAGAAGCGCACAGCAAATGGCAAACGATATGCACATCGAACACGAACTACAAATCAGTCCGCAAGTCGAAGTGCAATTCAACAAGCATAGCATCATACAAAAGGATATCCACTTCGACATGTAACTATACTTACAGTCCATATTAACACCGATAGCGGAATCTACGGGAGCATGGACATATAAATCGGAATGTACATCCAATTGCAATCGAAAACCAAATTGAAACGCAATACGAAGTCAAATATGAGACGTACATCGGGATGCGCATCGGAATGCAACTGGAAATGCATTTCGAATTGCGACTAGAAGTATTATTCAGAACGCACGTCGACACGTAAGATCCAATCGCAACCAGAATGTAGGTCGATATCAAAATCGGATTGCGAGCCGAAACGCCAATCCAGTTGCAATCGGAATGAATATCGGAATGCGAGTTCCCCCCGCCGCCCCCACCCACCCCCGCCCAAACCGCCTTATCCCCAGAAGGGTCGACGATGTGTGTTGCGTGTGTACAGATGTGTACGTAACGGGGCAGGCGTTCCCGGGCCCAAACCCAGGGACCTCACGCCTCTATTGCAAGATTGGGCCCCTGGGATCGCTCCCAGATAGCGCTACCTCCCCGCGTGAACCATCTGGCTGTACGACGCGGAATCGACCAGCGCGCTGCTCTCGTGCAGGCGCTGGGCTGCGACGACAAGGCGAAGCAGAAGCGATTCGTCATGGACGCGAAGTCTCACATGGCCGAGGGGTTCATGCTCATATTGTCTACAAAAGTGAGCTGGTTCCTTCCGAATCGCTACACGACCCAGGACAGGGAGTAGACTTCGCACAGCGCCAAGGTGGTCAGGACGGTTGCCGGCCTCGACCCGAGCGCGAACCCCACGGTGCAGACCGGGCCTTGACGCCCGGCCACCTGATGAGCACCAGGGCTGCGATGCGCTGGGTCGGCGAGAGGTGCAGCATCCCCGGCTGGGCAGACGTGGCTGGCGGCCCTTGGCACAGTGGCCGGCCAGTGCTACAAGGCGGGCCGTGACTGGATGTCCCAGGACCCTGCGGGCCCGCGATATGCTGCCAACATCGACGAGGCTGCCAAGCGCCTGGTCAACTCGGTTTTCGCCATCTACGCGACCCTTGAGATGGTGGAGCACATGCGCGCGTGCGCCGAGGTACTCTCCCCGGAGACCTGTGGCACCACATAGCAGGTCGCGTGTGTTGCCTGAGCGGGGGCGCGGGGCTGATCTCGGCCTGTCGCGATTTCCCGCCGTCAGACCATGCCGTGCGTTCGTTCCTGGAAACAGGAGCGGAGCGGCCGCGGCACAGTGCATGGCGTCTCCGCGTGCTTCACTGTAGCATCAGAGGCACAGAGAGACTTTGCGCGCCACGGAGTTAGTGAGTGCGTGAGTGAGATAGCGCTAAGACGAGTCAAGAGGGCATCCGGGCGGCCTTCGGGGCCGCCAAGACAGCACCATATTGCGCCCAGCCGCCCCAAGGTAATTCAAGACTGCCCCAGGAGGCCCCCATGCGGCTCGCAAAAGATTACCAGCAGGCCCAAAGACACCAGCAACCTAAGGAAAACTGTACACATTTGAAACCGCTTTTGCGCTTCCGAGGGGCCCCTGAGGCCTCGGGATAGTACCGGGATGGCCCCAAAGAGGCCCCAGAAAGGTCCCAGGACGCTCTGGAGACGCATCCTGCAGGCCCCAGGAGCCCCAAAAGGCCCCGAGAGCGCCCGTGGAGTCCCGAAGACGCTTCGAAGAGGCCCCCAAGAGGCTCCAAGAGACCACAAGAGACCCCCAAGAGGCCCCTTGGGGGGCTCCATGAGACCCCCAAGATGCCTCCAACATGTGCGAAGTCCCCCAGAAATCGCCAGGAAGCCACACATTCTTCACGAGATTCTCGGGCGGAACATTCGAATAGTGATTTTCATCATTGCACTCCTCGTCGCCGTCGTCGTCATCCATATGTTCCCGGAGAGGCTTCCGGGAGCAAGTTCTTCCCTGTTTGTCTTCCTTTCCCACCTCGCCCAAAAAAAAACTTCCAAGAGGCCTCCCGATGGGGCCTTCCGAGACACCGAGACGCTTCAAACGTGCCTTTTAGAGGCTCCCCAGTCAGGAACCGTTTGGAAACCATTCGAACATAGACTCCTTGTTCCCTCCTCCTACTTCGCCTCCGCCTCCACCTCCTCTTCCTCCTCCTCTCATCCTCCTGCTCCTCCTCCTGCTCCTCCTTTTTTTTCCTTCCGCAGGGTGGTCAATAATTGCGTGTCCGTTCGGATATTCCATGCAATCGGGGGGTCATCTGGAAGGGACCCGTAGATGTCTCGCCAAGACTACGCAATTGAGAGCACAACATCTTCTAAGTCGGACGGGTGGATGTCACAAGCGCTAGAGCGACACGAGACAAGCATCATACTTTCTTTAAAATGTTCCGTGCTTTTTGGTTTTCGGATCGCGGAGCTTCCGGGGCTTGCAAACGGCAGATGAGGACAGCAAGTTCGCTTGAAAACAACCTAAGAGCCCCACTGAAGGCCCGCACGACGGCCCAGGATAGTTCCAAGACGCCCCAGGAGCACCCAAAATTGATCAAGACGACCCCACGAAGGCAACACGTCCCCGGAGGCCTTTCCCGGAACATCTCGCCGTCGACGACAACGATGAGAGCAAAGTCGATGACCATGGTGGTGATGAAAGTGGCGATGGGTAAGACGATGGCTGTGACGAAGTAAGCAATTCGCGTTGTGTTTTCCATCGTGATGGCGGCTGGAGATAATCAGTCGGATGCGGACGATGATTGTGGTAATGACGACGCGCGACTTGAACGTCGCAACAGCAGCGAACCGATCAGATCAGCCATGATGGCAGCGTTGACGATGATGATGATTGTGGTTCACAAGTGGGATGGCCATAGCGAACAGGAATATTACAATCAGGATGATGCCGAGTACTTCTGAAGACGAGGAAGATAAGGGAGTTTCAAAGGGACCCCACGAAGGCAAGATGTTCCCAGAGGCCTTTTCCGGGAACATCTCGCCGACGACGACAATGAGAGCGAAGTGGATGACCGTGGTAATGATGATAGTGGTGATGGTGAGAAGATGGTTGTGATGACGTACATAAACATTTTGCGTTATTTGTCCATGATGATGGCGGTGATGCGGACGACAGGAAGAAATAAATTAGAAAATGATGATTGTGAGGACGACGGTCAGGGTAATGACGACGTGCGGCTTTGCCGTCGCCATATCACCAACATCAGTGAACCGATGATGCCGGCCAGGACGGCGGTGATGGTGATAAGTGTTGGCAAGTGTGGTGGCCATGGCGCACATTAGCATTACCTTCAGGGCCATGCCAAATGATAATGAGGATACGGAGGACGGGGGAGACGACGGTAAAGATGCTGAGGTGTACTAATGGAAGCGACTATGGCTTGCGTTTGTGCATATCCGGGCATGCACAGCTCCTGCGCTATAACCTAAGCACACGCACTTATAAGGATGATGGATACAAAGGTAGCTGCGACGACGTACGCGCCAAGCGTAGTGGGGGTCATCGTAATGGTGATTGTCCGGATGATAGTTCAACGAGAATGGGGATGATGATCCGAATGAGGACGATGTTGCGGTTGATGTTACGTGACGATGATTCCGATGCGCGAGTTTGACGTGCAGCATCACTTGCAAGACCCGGCCAAGGGTGTTACCAGTGAAGATGATGGATACGACCACGAATTTTGGCACGACGACGTTGCGCATCATGAACAATATGAAAACGAGGGAAAGGTTAGGCATTGTAATAATCATAAGGATGAATGCCACTATGGCGCGCTTGCGCATGGATAATATTCCCAACCTCGCCCCGTGCGCTCCCGGACTGCGCTAGAAACTGGGCGCGCGTAGCGCGCACGCGATGGCCCTAGTATATTTGTATGTATGTACAAACGGATGTGCTCATACATGTATATGTATATACATGGATACGTAAGTACATACACATGTGTATATAAATGTGTGCATACATATATATATATATATGTATGTGTATATATACGTGTGTGTGTGTGTTTGTGTGTATCGCTCGTCTCCGCCTTGTCTCATACTCTTTCCCGTGAACGTCAATAATGATGTTAGTAGGTTTCCTTATGTCTATGTCTCTCTGTCTCTGTCTCTCTCTCTCTCTCTCTTTCTCTCTCTCTCTCTCTTTCTCTATCTCTCTCTCTCTCTCTCTTCCTTCGTCTCTAGCTCTCCCTTCCTGCCAGGCCCTCGTCGGTAGATCGAGCGGCGCGAAAGCTTGGAGAGGGCATGTTGTAACAGCTTGAACGGCGCCCAGGACTCCTTCACCATCAAGAGCGTGGACAACTCCCGATTCGAGAGGGCTGGTCGTATAGATTGCCAGTCTGTCAGCTTCGACAACATCCTGGAGCTCGATATAAACAACGTCATATACCCCGTCGCCCCTGGTGATCAGGTGGGGGGCGGGACACGAAAACGGCTTTTGTTTTGCAGAAGTGGCGGGGCCATTGGCTTTCTTGGGGCATCCTGGCGCTCTCTGAGGGCCGTCTTGGGCCGGCTGTGCGCCGCCTTGAGATGTCAGGGGCGCCTCCAGAGAAAGTCTGCGGGCCCTCTTGGGGGATCCTCCTTTTAAGAAGCCCTCCCCACTCCCCTTACCCCCTTGCGCGCGCCGCAGACCAACAGAAAACAGCTGAATTACCCAACCCATCTTCGGCGCTGGGTTCTCTTGTTCTCTCTCCGATGCGCCGCGCGGCTCCTTTCGCCCCCCGCCCCCGCCCCTTCGGCGGCGCGCCGAGGAGGAAGTAAAGAGGGGCAGGCCTTCTCGGACGGCGACGCGACTTCTCAGAAGCCCTCCGGTGTTCGGAGAAGGTTTTAAGTCGGGCATGTCCTTCTACAGGAGAATATTCAAAAGTAGTAAAAAAATAGTCTCGGGACGATGATGTGACTATTCTTGGGCATTTTTTCGATATTGGATTGTGTTTTGATTTTCGCCCGAAATCCGCCTGTAGGGGGACGTGTCCGACCTAAGCCTTCTCGAACGGCGACGTGACTTCTCAGAAGCCCTCCGGTCTTCTGGGAGTTCATCTTCGCATTTTCGGAGAAGGTCTAGACAGCTCAGAAGGCCAGAGGCCTTCTGTTCCCTGGGCCTGGCCGAGTCGTTCTTGACAGTCCCAGGGCTGGGGAATGGCCCCCAGAGACCGGAAACGGACAAGCAGCTGTCGTCGCGATTTCCTGGCGACGCCCAGGCGTGGCGTTTCAACGAGGGGGAGGCTCCAGGCATCCCACGCGCTGTTTTTTCAAGACCGGGTCCCCAAACGTCTCGCCCCCTTCCCCGTGGGTTCATCCCGCTCCAGATCAGGTTTCGGATGTCCCGAGGTCCGAGCCAGGAAGGCGAGAGGAAGGAAAAACGCCGGCGGGGGCGTTCGTCGAGGGACGTGCCCGATGTGCCCAGGCGGCCGCAGGCACCGGAGGATGCCTCGTCTCGCGAGGGAGGGTGGTGATCTCCATGGCCCACCCACGATGGGAATCCCAGCGGCTTCCAGACCCTGGGCTCCTTGTCTGAGGGTTCCTTGTCTCAGGAGGGGAAAAACACACAGACACAATGAATCGTCGATCCCCCAGAAGACACGGGACACTATGGGGAGTGGTGCGGAAGACAGAATAACCCAGAAAAATTGGAAAACATGGGGAATCCTTTTATTTGTGTGTATTTCTTTGCGTGTCTCAGGGCCCCTTCACTTCGTTCATTCACGCCCCCTCCGCCCTCCGCCCCTCCTGCGCCCGCCTCCTGGGGAGTGGGGGGGAAGACAAAAACCCAGAAGATAATGGGAAAAGATTCGGAATCCTTTGATTTGCGTGTATTTCTTCGTGTGTCCCAGGGCCCCTTCCTTGTCCAGTCCCCCCCCGGACGCCGGGCCGCCCAGCGCTGCCGCCCGGCCGGCGGCGGCGGGCGTCGCTGAGCGGGCGGAGACCGATCTCAGCGCGGGCGAGTCGGCCCAATCTTAGGTCGGGCCTGTCCCTCTACAGGAGGCAACTTGAAAAGATAGCCAAAAACAATAGTCAGGGGACGATTGTTCAGTATTTGGGGCATTTGGGGACTAATTTTCTACTGTGTTTTATTTGTCCTCCAAGATCCGCCTGTAGGAGGACGTGCCCGACCTAAGTCTAGTCTCGGTGATGCCGTAGATTGTTGCCTGCTTACGGATATTACAGTGAGCGGCTTGAATAAGGAACACTTACTTTTCAAAAGGGGCTCGGTCGTTCCTTAGGCTTGTATGCGTTATTTACAGTTCCTTATGCGTTATGTGTTATGTATCGTTCTTTATGCGTTCTTCCTTGGGATAAAAAGGGAACTTCGTTCCTTATTTATCGTTCCTTCGGTCAGGCCGCTGACTGTAGTTCCTTTCTGGCTGCGTCGGCAGCAAAAGCCGGTCACGCGCCGAGGGGGGCCCGGGGAGGGGGGGAGGCTTCTCAGGAGCACCCCTGCTTCTTATCAGAGCCCCGAATCATCAGGGGTAACTCGGGTCAGGGATAACTCGGGTTCGTTTTTCGAGAATCCGAACCCGAGTTACCCCGGACCCGAGTTACCCCGGATAACTCGGGCGTCCAGAGCCCCGAATCATCAGGGGTAACTCGGGTCAGGGATAACTCGGGTTCGTTTTTCGGGAACCCAAACCCGAGTTACCCCGGACCCGAGTTACCCCGGATAACTCGGGCGCCCAATCTTAGAAGGCGCGGGCCCTGTCTGTAGAGGCACGGCCGGCGCCCTCTAAGCAGCAGCCTCCTTCTAAGAAGCCTTCCTCCCTCCCCCTTGCCCCTATCTGCGCGCCGCCAAGGGAGAGCGCGGGCCGGCCCTCCCCCCCCCGGGCCGGAGGTGTACGTCGCCATTACCGACAACGTCAGCGCCGCCAGCCAACCCCGCCGGTTGGCCAACGCGCTGGACCCCCCGGCGGAGGAGGAGGCGGAGGAGGTTGGGCGCGAATAAAATGAAGGGATAATAAATGGGTGGGTAAAACATGTGCCCTTTTCGGGCCCTAAAGGGCCCCTTTTCTGCAGTCCTCGCTGCCCCCCAAATTATCGCCGACCGAGGCGGCGGAGGAGGAGGAGGAAGAGGAGGAGGAGGGCAATTATCTGGGAGGGGGGAAGTCTTCTTAGAAGCAGCCTCCTTTTAACAAGCCTTCGCCTTCCCCCATCCGCCTTCTGCGCCCCGCCAAAAGACGATGATCGGGAGGGAAGATAGAGACAGATACAACTATGAACATCGATTCCCAGGAAGGTGTAGACGAGATGGGAAGAAGAACTGGCGGAAAATCCAGAAGGCATGGAACACGTGGGGAATCCTTGGACATCTGTGCTCTGTGCCCATATGTATGTATGCATGCATGCATGCATGGATGCATGCACGCATGCAATGTGTGCAATGTACGTACGTATGTATGTATGTATGCATGCATGCATGCATGCATGTATGTATGTATGTATGTATGTATGTATGTATGTATGTATGTATGTATGTATGTGTGTGTATGTATGTATGTATGTAGGTAGGTAGGTAGGTATGTATGTATGGATGTATGGATGTATGGATGTATGTATGTATGTATGTACGTATGTGTGTATGTATGTATGTATGTATGTATGTATGTATGGATGGATGGATGGATGGATGGATGGATGGATGTATGTATGTATGGATGGATGTATGTATGTATGTGTGTATGTATGTATGTATGTGTGTATGTATGGTTGTCTGTATGTGTGTATGTAATGTATGTGTGTATGTATGTATGTATGTATGTATGTATGCATGCATGCATGCATGCATGCATGCATGCATGCATGTATGTGTGTATGTGTGTATGTATGTATGTATGTATGTATGTATGTATGTATGTATGTATGTATGTATGTATGTATGTATGTATGTATGTATGTATGTATGTATGTATGTATGTATGTATGTATGTATATGTGTGTGTGCGTCCCTGGGCCCCCTTTCAGATGACGCCGACAACGACGACGTGCGAGGACCGAGGCCTGGTGAGAGTCTGCCTCCTCTGGGGGGGGGAGGGCCTCTGGGATAGAGAGGCCTCCCGTCGCCGCGGCTGGCTCCAAGGTCTGGCAGGAAGGCACCACGCGGGGAGGCCCCGGGGTCACGTGGGGTCACGTTTAGGCATTGCTAGCACTGCTCCCTCCCTCCTCCTCCCTTGGCCTCACTGCTCCCTCCCCCTCCTCCCTCCTCCTCCTCTTGGCCCAAGGTGCCCCCTGGATCTCCACGGAAGCCCCCGCGACATCCAGAGCACCCCGTCACGAGGCCCGCGGGGCGCCAGGGGGCGCCAGAGTGGAGCGAAGAGCTGGGGGCACCTCGGGCTGGGGGCACCAAGAGCCACCTCCGACAGTTTGCGGCCCCCGATCCTGGACCCTCTCCGCGTCGCGACAAAAATCACGACAGTTGGTGTTGGGCGCCGTTTTCGGATTGCCCCACGCCTGTCCAAAAAAAACACCTCGGGACGGAGCGGCGGCCCTGGGGATCTGTTCTAGAGCTGTGGATGCTTGCGCAGCGAAACACTTGTTCCGACGCGGCGCGGCAGAGGCAATCCGCGCGCGCTCCTAGTAGCTGGGGCAGACTGAGTTGCCTCGATACGCCCGTTTTGAAACGCAACACGTCCCGTGTTCAAAACGTCCGTGTCAATACGTTGCGTGTTGGCTCCACGTATTAGACCGCGTTTTGGCGAATGTATCGCGTCGGACCTACGTTTTCAGCCTAAGTGTTGAGCTCCGTATCAATGCGATACGTGTTGCGTGTTGCGTATCGAGGCAGCTAAGGGGGCAGAGCGTACTACATGTCCGGCAGCAAGAGAAGCAGACTTGGGCAGAGGGCGGCCACAGAGCAGGAGGAAGGGGGGAGGGCACTCACGGCACCAAGGCCTTTGGCGTGAGTGGCCGGTGCGGCCAACCGTTGCTGAAGCGTCTTGGCAGTGGACGTGGAGCGGCGTTGCGTCCACACCCCGTGGCCGAGACAAAGGCTGCAGGCGCTATCGGAAGTCTGGGGAGGAGGGGGTTCGAAGGTAATTGGTTGGGGTATGTCAGAGTAGAGCTGTGTCCCGCCGCCGCGCTGGCTCAAGCCACGCGCGGCACGACAAAGCGTTCTTGGTCGTCACCTGCGATGATAAGCAGTCTTCGTCCTTTCCATGCTGATGCTTGTGACCCGTACCCAGTGTCATATGAGTCGGGTCGGGTATGGCATCTTCGGCCTGGTAGTTGAGCTGTCCTCACTTCCGCGTGGCTGGCTCACGTCTTCTTAGTATTATATTACGGGGCATGCTTCGTGACGAAAACAATGTACATTGCGCCTACATGTTACCACCATCTTAGCGAGAGGGCATCTATTACTTGCGCTCGGGAACAAAAACAAACGCCAGTCACCGGAAAGCGCAGAACGTGTGCAACGACCTTGAGGTTCACCAACAACCAGCTTGACCGCGCTACTCCCGTGCGTGGAAGGATGGAACTGAAACCTCCCCGTTGCGAGTGCGGACCCGATCTCCCACGGAAGATCAGGCGCTTCACCATTGTACCAGGCGCTTCTCTGATGACACAACGATTCTTGGGACGGTTGGGAACAGTCATGCCCGGCCGCATTTGGTGCGTTATCAGCGCGGCCATTGGCTACATGAGCGGAGGAGGCGGCGACACTTGAACCAGAGGGCCCTACGGGGCTCCGAACGAAAACGCTCCATTTCGAGATCGGGTCGCTACAATTCACGCTTGGGAAGGCGTGATTAGTAGCCACATAAAACCCAACGACAGGCCGATGCTCTTCAGCGCGGCGCCAGAGGTTGCGTCAGAACTCTCGCGATGCGGTTGCCAAGCGACGTAGCCGACGTCGAAGTTTAGCGCGGGCCCTGTCACAGACATAATGATCTTCATCCGCACGAAGTTCGAATACCTTACGGACGGACGCCAGCTGACATCAGGCACCCAGTTCATCGGCTCCTACACAGGCCCCAACAAGAGAATCGACGACACACTCGCACTGTTCAAGTTAGCTAGACTTGAGGTCCGAGCAGTGGACGTCGACATGCCGAGTTTTCAGCTACTTACCATTTTTCTATCCAGAGTCCTGGGAGCACCACCCTCTAGGGCCATCACCTTGCGTCAGCCCCTCATCGGCTCCATGCCTCGCACCCGACAACAGAGCGACAACCCTCTCGAGCGCATTCGCTCGATGGGACACATCATGGAAAGTCCCCCAGGAAGCATTGAAGGTGTGTCCGGCCGTGGTCGAGGAGCACACCTTCATGACGCAAGGACGGGTACCAATCTGTGCCTGAAAATGGGCCCGCCACCATGAGCAGATCACCAATATGCATATCAAACCACGTGGGCGGGGCTGCCAGGAAATTTGCTGCTGGCGGAAATCGGCCCGAAACCCCAGGTCGTATAATTGGAGCCGAGCATCGACACAGACACCTCTTCAAATGACACAGACCAACTAGATCAGGGGAAGACATACCACAAATGAATACTGCAGCAGATCGTGCAGAACGCTTATCCTGGGTTGCGCAGCATGCAAAGCGAAGAAGGAGGCAGCTTAAGAGTAGACCAGTCGGACATGCCAAGAGGAGAGTCAAACGTGCGACTGGCGGCAGTGGCAAAGGCATTGCATCCTTGATTCAGTTGAGTCTCCTGGAGTGGCAGAAGCCGCCGCCATACGTTTCTGGACACGTAGAGACTTTGGGAGGCCCGGCGGAGAAAGAGGAGGGCAAGGCGAGCGGGGGGAGCCCAAAACGGCCCCCGAGGGACCCCCCAGATGCTCCGAAACCTGCCCCAAAGTGCACCCAGAGTTGTCGAAAACGGCGGGGCAAAACCGAAGACGGACACGGAGAGGAAAAATCGGCTACGCGTAAGAGTGACTTTTCGCCAGGGTGACCTTCCGGTGCGGGCTCACAGGGGTGACCCCAGCACCGGCCCGCGCGCTTGGATTCGGGCCCTTCGCGGCCCCCTACATCCGCGCACCAGAGGTGACTCTTGCCTAGGGCCACTCTTGCGTGCAGTCGATAAAACGGAGCAACACGAGTTAAGTTGGGGGCCTCAGAAGGGCCTCCAGGGATTTCCTGGGCGCGCCCAAGGCGACTCAAGAGGGATCCAGAAGGGCGGTCAGACGGCCCAAGACGGGACCGAGAGATCTTCAGGACGGCTCGAGGGGCCTTGGAGATATGCCAACGTGGCCAGGGAGACCCCAAAAGTGCCACAAGAGGGTCGACGGGAGCTCCGAAAGGCGCAAAGAGAAGCCAGAAAATGCGAAAACCATCAATCAAGTTCAATTGTTTTTGCTTGTTTTCTGCATCCTCGGGTTTTCGGAACAACATGATTTGAAAAGGACCTCGGAAGGGTGCACGTTGTACAGCTGGGGCCCCGGGCCAGCGGAACGGGCAGTCCTCGTGGAGGACCCCAAGAGGGATTGCGAGGGATTTTTTTTTCGGAAATATTTAAAGACGAGGAGTGTTTGGGTAAGAAGACTGAGGGGAGACAGTCCTTGCAGACCATGCGACGGGGATCTCACACGCCGTACCTAGTGGGGCGGCGGATCGCTTCGCTCACTCCGCTGGCCCACCCTGCGTGGTTGGGTCGTGGACAAGAAGCTTATTGAGGAGGTTTCTTGAAGTCTGTCGGGAGGCCTGTTGGAGGCATTATGTGAGGCTCGTGAGGGCTCTCAGGGGGCTTTTCGCATGGTCTTCGGGCCCGTCTGGGGGCCTCTTGGGGCCATCTTTTCGGCCTCTTGAGTTTATTGAAAGGTATCCTGGGCCATCTTGGTGCCCTCTGGGGCATTCTGGAAGACCTCTTGGGAGCCTCTTGGGCTGTTGGGGCGACCTTTGAGGCCACTCGGGCCGTCCTGGGCGGAACCGCGAAACGACGAAAGCACATGGAAATCCTCCCAAAACCTCAAGGGAATCAGTGAATGTTGCCTCTTGGGCTCCTCTTGGAGCCCTCTTAGGGCGTCTTGGGCGCCTCTAGAGCTGGCTGTGGTCCACTCGGGGCCGTCTTGAGCCGTTTTCGAGCGCTCTCGGCCCAAGGTCGCGGAGCTTGCCACCAATTCTAAGGCAGCCTGGTTCGCTCCGGGACGGCGCCCAGGACGAAAACCATTTCTGAACGGAGTCGTTCCAGGGGAACGAAGAATTACATAAACATAAAAGCTCGGAGGTCCGCGCGGATTTCTCAGATCGGCGCTAGACCCCGGCGCCGGAGGCGCCGCCAGGGAGGTCCAGCGCGGATCCGAGAAATCCGCGCAGACCTCCGAGTTTTAATGTTTATGTCATTATTCGTTTCCCTTCGTTTGGGAGTAGTCTGGGCTTGTCGCGGGATGCTTTTTTGGGGAAGGGCAAAATTTGAGGTCGTCGGACGTTTGGCAAAGGCAGCTGTAGGCGCGGCAGTCCTCGTGGCAACGACGTGCACTCCATGATATGCCACGATGGCGGGAGTACCCAGCACAATGTCAGAGATTGCCCGCGCAAATGCTACACGGACGGAGGCCGGTACGTTTTCAAAAGGGAGTTCTCGCCCCAGAGCTCAACACGTATGGGCCTTAGTGGGCCCCGGAAACGGCAGGGTCGTTTTTTTCATCGTTTTCGAAAAAGAGTAATGAAAATGGAAACGTCAAAACAACGGCGATCAGAAACGGCAAAAAAACAGCTCCAGGATCGGAACTGGAGCTGGAACCGGCAAAAAATCGGCGGCGGAACCGGTAAAACAACGGCGTCGGAAGCGGCGAAAAAACTGCAAAACGGAACCGGTAAAAGAAACGGCCTTGTCGTTTCCAGGGCCCGCTAAGTTCTCGCTTCAGGGCTCAGCACGTATGGGCACAAGCGTGCAGTTGTCCAGCTGTTGTGCGAGTGGAGGCCGGCTTTCTGTTCGAGATGGGGCCCTCGTGGGTCGCATGCCTTGCAGCTCGAGGTCGGTTTGTCCTTGAGCATTGGATCCTTAATGGCCAGGGGGATATGGGATGGAGGGGGGGTGCAGCATCGCTGCTACATATTAGATGTACTATGGTTTTACGATGTTCCAACCGATTTTAGCCTTGACCACAAGAAAGAATGTCGAGCACCAAGAAAATACCGAATCTGGAGAGTTTTTACGCGCTGGGCCTTGGGAGGCGATACTCGTTCGACACTGTTTCGATTTCTTCTGGTTGTCCTCCTCGATCTCCCCTGCTTCCTCTTTCTTCCCCCTCCCACTGCTCCCGATTCTCCCTTCCCCCCTGTTCCAGGCCCGCGCTGAGGAGAAGAGAGGCAGTGCACAGTGCACACACACACACACACGATACGATGGCGGCAGCGATCCAGGGCCGCGACCTCCTCCTCCTCCTCCTCCTCCTCCTCCTCCTCCTCCTCCTCCTCCTTCCCGTTTGGTATTCCTCCTCGCCCCCCGCCTCGCCCTCCTCCCGACCCTTCTCTCGGTGGCGAGCCCGGGGAGGAAGTGAGAGGGGGCAGGCCTTCTCGGAAGGCGGCGGGGTTTCTCGGAAATCTGCGCGCCTCCTGGGAAGTTTTGCAACCCTCCCCGAAGCCACAGACGGCTTTTTGAGGAGACCTGCCCCCTCTCGTTTCCCCCCTGGGGCAAGCAGCCGACTCCTCCAGGACCACGACCCGCGCATTCTTGGCCGGTCGATCATGGACCAGTTCGAGTATGTGTGTTGCGGAAGGGTGTACAAGAAGGACCGCCCCCGCCCATCTCGATTTCATCGACACCCCCCTGGGGACCTCCACCCAGCGGCGCCCAGAGGGGAGTGCCGTGGGAGGTGGGGAGGCCTCTTGCAAGCCTTCTTTGCCCCCAAATAAGCCTTTCTAGATAGAAGCCTCCGATCCCTTAGAAGCACCCTGCCCCCTTCCTAGATCGGGGTACAACAAATGCTATAGGCATAAACCTGCGGAGATCCGCCCGGTTTTCTCGGATCGGCGCTGGACCCCCCCCCCCTTGGCGCGTTCCGCGCGCCAGGGGCGGCGCCGGAGGCACCGCCAGGGGGCCCCAGCGCCGTTCCAACGAAATCCGCGCGGACCTCGGAAAGCTCGTGTTTACATTAGGGAGCACGTTGCCAAATCATTTCCTGATGTCTAAAACATGTGTTAAGCATCGCTTAAACATGAAAGTTCATGCTCCATACATGTTTGGAACATTTGTCCGACATCTTAAACACATTTGGAATTAAATGGTAGGACTGTCAGGGTGTCCATTGCCGTGGCATTCGCAACATTATTGTCTGCTCTCTTATCTGAAACTTCCGCTCTCTTCTGAGAAGCCTCCGGTCCCTTCCAGGAGTCCGCCAGGCTCGTCTCGGACCCAGTGGCCCCCCTCCTCCGCAAGACGACCCGCGACGAAGCACCGGCCCCAGGGGGTGAGGTCGAGAGGCTCGGGTGCCCTCGCTTTGGGCAGGTGCACGTCGTCGTCGTCGGAGACACGGTTCCTCTCGCCGTCAGAGCCAATTTTGAGGACGGTCTCCTCTTCCTCGTCCTCCTCTTCCTCCTCCTCCCGACGGGAAATGGGGGCAGCACGGCAGGAGTGGCTGTGTTGGTGCCCACTCACGTCGGAGTTGCTGCGGGCCCCACGCCACCTGGCGGCTGGTGCGAGGGCAAGCGCGGGATTCTCACTGCAGGACGGCTTGCTGCAGTACATGTTTACTGGGGGCCGCCTGGTGGAGTGGTGGTCATATCCGCCTACTTCGTCACCAGCGTCGGCATGGACCCTCAGAACCAGCGCCTCCTGCAGGTATTGGCGTCCGATGTTGGCCATGTGATTGCGGAGGGCCTGGACTGGATCGTGCTCGGGGACTGGAACATGCCACCCGAGGCCTTGGACCAGAGGTGGCTGGCTCCTGTGCGAGGCTTCGTGGCGGCGCCCTCCGCCCCCACCTGCACCAAGTGCCTCCCTGGCTCTGTGCTGGACTACGGCGTTTGCAGTCGGAAACTTTTGCCCAGGATGTTCCCGCCGCAGGTAGATGAGGCCGCGCCACTACTGGTGCACGCAGCGGTGACGATCGCGTGCTGTGGATGAGGGTGCCGCGCGAACCAGCCAGCTACGTCATTAAGCCAGGCTGTGCCCGCCCACCGCTGGCGGACCACCAGAAGCACGTCGACTCCATGATCGCGGCGGCCTGCGACGACGATGCCCTCCAGCCTTGTTGGGACGAGGTGCTCCAAGGTTTGGAGGCTGAGCTGCTGAACCGAGCCGACATCATGGACGACCAGACCCGTGTACGGCATGAAGGCAGCGCTGGACCGCCTGAGACGGCATGGGTACGGCTGCGATGGGAGCCGCCACACCGTCGCGCACGGCCTCCTTCCCATGTGCACGCCTGGGCCCCTTTGGCGCGCTGGGCCAAGCATGCGCTGCGGTCGCGAACGCATCTGGCCAGGTTGACGCAGCTCTACGTGAAGGATCCCATCCCACGCGCTGCGGGCACGGCCAAGAACTTCGCAGAGCTCTGCAGGTTCTTCCAGCGCGTTGCCAAGGCCAAGCACGTATAGGAGTAAGCCACCATCCAGGTGCGCGACCTCTTCGCCAAGGGCATCCTGCTGCTGGTCGAGCCCAACCTGGAGGTCTCGATGGCGCAGATCGTGACAGTCTACAAGGACCACCTCGCCATTCATGATCGGGTTACCTCGGCTCGAGGGCGGGCATGGGTCCAAGAGAACGGTGCTGGTGGCGCCCACCGTGCAACCAAGCTCCAGGACAGGTTCGAGCTCATGAACTCTTTCGGGCAGGACGAGAGCATGCTGGACCCCCTTACGCGAGGGCTGACCTGGCCATGGACGAGTGGGAGGCCATCTGGACCAGTGTTGATGCCCAATGGCTTCCCTTGCCAGGTGATGCTCACCCGTGGCCGGCGTTGCCGTCGCTGGATGGGCAGCAGATCCGCGATGCGACCCTCACCTTCAGCAAGAAGACGGCTGCAGGGCGTGGCAAGATGCATCCGCGTGACCTCTGGCACATGTCTAGCCAGGCGCCCGACACCTTGGCAGCGCTCTTCATGAGGTACGAGGACCTCCTCTCCTGGCCGTCGGACCGCATCGTCGACGCGATGGCCAGGATCCCCAAGGAGGACGGCGGCTCGAGGCTCATCGCCCTGGTCTCGACTTTAGTCCGCCTTTGGGCTCGCGCCCGACGTCCGCTGTCCAGAGACTGGATCAAGCAGCACAGGCGCTCCTCCATCTTCGGGCTATCGAAAGGGTGCTCGCCCATCGACTCCGCGTTCAGGAACAACTTTGATGCTGAGATTGCGCACCTCCTGGGCCAGTCCAGCCTGACGGTTATCCTGGACTTGCACAAGGCCTTCGATAGTGCGCTGCTGGGCGCCCTGCTCCAGGAGGCTCGTGCGCGTGACTTCCCACTGAGGTCGGTCTGGCAGCTGCTCACCTACTTCAGGATGCCCAGGACCATTCGGGCACATGGCTGTTGGTCGCGACAGGTGCTCGTTCGCCAGAGCATCTTGGCGGGCTGCACGCACGGCGCAGGGTTGCTCACGGTGCTCCGGTTTCGCTCCATCGCTCCGGAGCATTTCCGATGAGGTTCTTCGGCCACGTGCACTGATGGGCGGCCTCACTATGCAGTGGACTGGACAGCATGTTCAAGCTGGCGCCCGCGCGCTCAAGGCTGCCTTTCTGGGCCCCATGGAGGGTGTGGAGCCGCTCGGCATGACCATCGAGCTCGATAAGTCGGGCTGGCTCGGCAACACTAGCGCTGCAGTTCGTGGGTTCTCGAGGGCGGCCCGCGCCTTGCAGCCGCCCCTGCGGAGGGGCGCGCGCAACCTGGGCCACGACACCAACGGGCGAAGAGTGTTGAGGACGGTGGCCAAGCGCCGCCTCGCCAAGCCTGAGGCTCGCCAGCCGCGCGCGCTGGCGCTGCGCCGAGCTGCTGGAGACCGCGCCCAGGCCCAGTGGCGGACGGGGCCGCCCCCTTCTGCAGGCCATGGGGCGGCGGTTGCAGGCCACGGATGAGCAGCTCAGGTCGCTGCGGCATTCGGCGGTCTCGCTGTGAGCTGGCAGAGGCGGGGGGAACTGCGCCTCCGCCACGATCTATATGGCCACCCAGCAGGACCCGTGCATGGACCCCGTCTTCGACGTGACGATCGCTCCTGCGGTCCGCTACTGCGCCCACGTCTGGGGCGGCGAGCTCGTCCTGAGCCAACTCCAGCGAGCTCGGCAGGCGCTGGCCGACAGCTGGCAGGCGGGGGCCCCAGGCTGGCACGGCGCCCGCGGCCCCCTCGCCGCCGCGCGGCCGAGCCTTCGCAAGATCGATTGGGACATGCGCTCGAGCCTGCACCTCTGCACCGACTCGGAGGGGGGGGGGGGGGGGGCGATCCACATCTTGACGGCGCCGCCGAAGGTCATCGGACACATGTTGCGAGCGGGCATCCAGCGCTGGCAAGGGCGGCGCATCCTGGCCCACCATGTGGAGCGCCCGCCGACCTCCTCGGCACCGCTTTGAACGCGGGCCGTCCGCAAGTGCTCTGCTCCCCCATCGCGCCGCTGTGCGAGGCGCGCGGGCTGGGCAGCTGCGCAAGCCATGGTCTGGCGCGGCCTGGGATCCCGTCAAGCGATGGCAGCCGGGGTATCTCTCCAGCCCTGACTGCCCCTTCTGCGAGGGGCCCCCCACGTGCGCTCGCGGACGCCAGTTCTACGAGTGCCCAACCATCCTGGAGACGGGCTCGCGGGAGGACTCCTCGGGCATCGAGCCGATCTCTGAGCAGGCTGCAAAGGCGCGCGCCAGGCTCAAGGAGAGGACGCACATCGGGGCCGGCGACCAGGACTACGACAGGTGCGACGTCATCACGGGCACCCCGCAGATGCCCTATGAGGTCCTTGCTGCCGAGCGGGCCCTGCACCGCCACTGGCGGGGCGACTGGTCCTCAGACGAGAGCTCCAAGACCACCATCGTGCACCGCGACGGGTCGGGCCACGAGACGGCTTGGCCAGAGTTAACGAGGTGTGGTTTGTCTTGCGTGCAGGTAAGCTGCGACGGCCTCCCGCTTCGCGCGGCATTTGGAGCACTGCCGCACGCGCGCCAGACAGTCGGACGTGCTGAGCGCCACGCGCTGCACCACGCCCTGCTGCACATGCCGCACCCCCGCTTCGTGGCCACTGATTTGGCGGCTCTTGCGCGCGAGATCGACGCTTGGAGTGAGGGCCAGGCGGCCTCGAGCAGCGAGCACGCGGACATCTGGAGGGCCATCTTCGCGCTCACGGATATGCATGCGGGGGCGAGGCGCTGCAGGCCTGCGGCGCGACGGCGCCCTGCACGCCTCGACCTCGAGACGTTCCTCGGCAAGCCCGAGCGGTTCGCCGAGGATTTACACGGCCAAAAGTGGGCTGACTTCTTCGCCAAGGCGAGAGCTCGCCTGCGCAGATTGCCAGACACCTTGCGAGACGTGTTCAAGGTGAAGCTCAGCGATGCCAAAGATGAGGCGAAGGCCTTGTCCTGGCCCATGTCAGCAGTCGGCGAGCACGCAGGAGCTGCCAGCTTGCTCGCGCCGCCCCGCGTGCGGCCAGTGACTACGGCCAGGCCTGCACAGTTGGCCAGGTCGCGCCGCGACCTCGAGCGCCTCGGAGGCGCGGCGCGGTGCAGGAGGCGTGGTGCGTCGGCGCCCACGGGCGCCAGCAGGGCCCATCTGGCCTCCAGTACTTGTGTTCCCACGCGGTTGCAGGAAATGATGGCTCGGGCT